GGTGTTGGGACACTGGTTATCTGACTGCAACTGCCAGCTAGGTTCAGCGCCTGGGTCCCAGCCCACCCGGCTACCACCTCTGACATAGCCAGAACCAGCTGCTTTATAGACATGCCTGGATCCTGCTCAGCTACTGGCCCAGGGGGACCTGGTAGCAGTGAGTTCCACAGGCCAATTGTGACTGAGTTAAGAAGTGTTTCCTTCCCTCCTCCATACATTTGTTCCCTGTTACTGTCAAGGACTCCTCCTCATTCCGGGGGGGCGAGGGGGAAGGAAGTGGGGGAGCAGACCCAGCACAGAACCCAGGGGGGTGCAGGGGGAGCCGACCCAGCACAATGTCCAGGGACAGGGCTGGGACCTGCGTGAACCAGTCCTGTGCCCAGCAGGCTCAGGCCCAGCTGGCAGGGGGATGCAAGAGCTGAGGGCCCTGTAGGAAGCCTGAAACAAACGAGCGAGCTTTGTGTTAATCTCTTTATTACCTGTGTACAGCTCTGTGCACTCCACTTGGCACGGCCGCCCCTGGAGCGGGACAGAGGCTTTCCTCCCAGGGACAGAGAGCGGAGATAGGTGCTGCAGCCATCCAGCGAGAGACAAGCTGGACCTCAGCAGAGCAGGGTGCTTCAGGCCACGGCTCCCACCTTTCCTAACACCACACCCAGGCGCTACCCCCTCGTTCCAACCCAACCGGCTTGTCATTTGCTGTGCTCCCCGAGGCCGTGAGGGATCTCTGAGCAGGAGCCTGCCTCAGGCCCAGTCCAGCGGGTGCTGCGGCTCCGTGGCCTGCTTGGGGGCGGAGCAGGGCCTGGTGCATTAAGAATGACTCCCAGGACAACTGTTTAAAAGCAGGGCAGAGCCTGTCAATGCGTGACAAGTGCCGCAGCCCCATGCTCAACCTCAGAGCGTCGTGCATTGGATACATGGGACTGGCGCAGGGCTGGCGGACAGGGGCCTTCCCAGGAAGGGTGCAAGACACGCCCCTCACTCTTGTGGGGTCACACAAGCTCCATTTGCCTGGTGTACGGGAACCTGTGGTGGAGCGCCTCTCCTTAGAGTAACCCCCTTGTCTCCCAGGCCCTGGGGAGTGGGGCAAGGGGGCAGGGCTTGCTCTAGTGACTCAGTGTCGAAATGGAGCAGAGACCGAGTAGCCATGGGGTACAATCAGGGTCTGGTTGGGGCTGGTCTCTGCCGGCTCCTGGATCCATGCAAGGGCCCTATGGACAGGGACAGGCCGAGGAGAAACGACAGCCTGGGAGAGCTCCCAGGCCCTTCCAGCAGCTGTGTGCTTGCTGCAGGAGGCTAACAGCGGGGTGAGCAGGCTTGGCCATGCCCAAGGCATCCCACACACCCAGGGAATCAAGAGGACACTGATCTAGTGGGAATAGGAAATAGCCTTCCAGGGACAGAGAGAAAACCCTGCCCTGGGGCCAGAGAGCCTGGCTGAGAGCTGCTGCTGTGACTAATGAGCCCTCAGCAGGGCACTTCCACAGGCTGCTCCAGAGGGCAATGGGCCCGAGCAGCTGGAAGGCCCCACCCGTGCTGCTCAGCGCCCCAGCGTTAGACAGGCTGGCCTGGCCCAAACGCAGCTGGAGCTTGCATGGCTCTGCTGTCAGGAGGCCCAGGCTGCAGCTTGGGAAGCTCTGATGCTGACACTAATCAGCCCAGTCCCGACTGGAGAGGGAGGGAGTGCCCATCTGGGCTGGATCCAGCGCTGGGAGGAGGCCCAGCCCAGGGTGCGGCTGCAGTGCCCCCGAGAGACTGTTTCACACCCAGGCCCAAGTCCAGGGTGCAGCCATGGGGGACCACGCAACGCCGGGAGGCAGTAGGGTACTAGCTGACGGCATCTGGAGCGCTCTCAGCGGCAGCGAGGAGACTGGCAGCCACCTGCTGGCTAGGGTGGGTTTCCGTGCCAACTGCTGCAGGCAGGGCCGCAGGGGCAGCACCAGGGACCTGCGTCGGGCTGGAGCCTGGCACCGCCTGGGCTGCAGGGGCCTCGTAGTCCGAGATGCGGCGCTGCACAATGGAGGGCATGAGCTGCACGTAGGCCCCCATCAGGCGGTGGTTGGAGTGGACGAGCTTCCCAGCACAGCCATCTAGACAGGCCTCCTGCAAGGACAAACCACGGATGTCATGAGGGTCCCAGCTCCATGGGGAGCAGATTCCCATTCCTGCCCACAGCTCCCACTGCCTGGCCCCCTCCACAAAGGCACCCTGCCATCCTCAATACCCGTGCCCACGAAGCTGGACAGCCCACGGCTCTGGGATGCAGAGCTAGGAATGGACAGCTCCTCGGCCTGGAGGGAATGAGCAGGCCAGCTGTGCTCCGGGAAGAGCTCCCCCCCAGCCCTCATGCCTGGGCAGCGTCCAGAGCTCACCTCCTCCCTGGTGAGCGCCCGGTAGTTCAGGTTGGAGATGCAGCGCAGGAAGCAGAGCTCCGTCATCCTGTTGTAGACAAGAAGGAAATCCCGCAGCTGGAACAAGAGCAGCAGTGGGGGGGTCAGACCCTGACTCTGAGGCACTGCCCCAGCCACCGGCTCCCCACAGATCCCTCACCCTTGGCAGAGCTGCTGTTCTGACTCTCATCACTGGTAGCCCACCGCCTGGCTGGAGAGCCAGCTCTGCTGGCACAAAGCAGATCCCACTCCCGCGGGGTGGCTACGGTGCGCTCAGGGCGACTGGGCTTACACCCGTTTCCTTTGCTAAGGGAGTCTGAGGCAGCCGCTGTACTGACTGCATTAAAAACTGGATAAGCAAGAGGCCTCGAAATATGATTGTAAATGGGGACTCGTCATTGAGCTGGTCTGTTCTCAGCAGGGAATTGCAGGGGTCAGTTCTTGACCCTATACTATTTAACATCTGTGCCAATCACCTAGAAAAAAACAAAATTGTCACAGATAAACTTTGCGGGGAAAACGAAGACTGGGGGAGTGGTGAACAATGCAGCAGACAGGTCCCTGATACAAAGCGGGCTCCATCGCTTGGGAGCTTAGCCAGCAAGCAATATGCAGTAACACAGCTAAACGTGGCTGTGTGCATCTGGGAATAGCAAATGTCAGCCACACAGACAGGCTGGGGACTGGGCCCCAGGAAGCAGCAACCCAGAAAGAGATTGGGGGTTGGGCGGGTGGATAACGATCAGAACATGAGCTCCCAGCGACCATACCTCCCGTTTTGGCCCAGACAGCCCCTTTTTTAAGCCCTGTCCTGGCCATCCCGATGTTTTTTGGCAGAAGTGGGTATTTGTCCTGTTTGCTGCTGACTTGATCAGCTGGCAAGAGCAAACTGGACAAATGCCCTTTTGTCAAAAGAGTGTGGTGTGGTGGAATATGGGGGGGGCGAGTGGCGATGCCAGCCCAGTGCAGGGCGGGAAGGCAGCGTTCCAGCGACTCTGGGCTCCTGGGGGGACGAGGGCTTGGGCAAACGGCTTGGGCCAGACCGCTGTGGTGTCCCTTTTTCCCTTTGGGAAATATGGTCCCGCTAAGCAGTGAGGTGACTCGGTCCGTGTGCGTGGCCGCAGCAGGATCCTGGGCCGGCGCAGGGGGGCGAATCAGGGTTAAATCACGCCCAGGGCAGCTTGGGTCGAGCACGAGGACACACCCTGGCTGTGGGGTGGGAGGCTTGAACAAGTTGCCCAGGCAGGCTGCAGAGGCCCCAGCACCGCAGGGTTGGAGCAGCTCAGGCACACACCTGAGGGGGGTGGGGTGACACCGGGCCTGGCCCTGCCTGCAGGAGCCGGAGTCGCTGGCTGGGAAACGGCCCCTCCAGCCTGCCATGTCGGAGCAGCGCAGCGGGGCGTGAGAAAAGCCCCACAAAGCGCCCACCACCCTCGGGGCGAGGGCCCCCAGCTCCTTGGCCAGCAGCTCAGTGCCCAGCCCCCCCCCCCGCCTCCAACTGTCCCCCAGCCTCCCCCGCTGTCTCGCCCAGCCTCCCGAGCCGTCAGCCTCCCCCCCGCCTCCAACTGTCCCCCAGCCTCCCCCGAGCCTCCCCCGCTGTCTCGCCCAGCCTCCCGAGCCGTCAGCCTCCCCCCCGCCTCCAACTGTCCCCCAGCCTCCCCCAGCCGCCCACACAGCCTCCAACTGTCACCCCACCGTCTCCCCCGAGCCTCCTCCCCCGCCGTCAGCCTCCACCCGCCGTCTCCCCTGCCGGCCCCAAGCCTCCCCCCGCCTCCAACTGTCCCCCAGCCTCCCCCGCTGTCTCGCCCAGCCTCCCGAGCCGTCAGCCTCCCCCCCGCCTCCAACTGTCCCCCAGCCTCCCCCGCCTCCCCCCTGTCTCCCCAGCCTCCCGAGCCGTCAGCCTCCCCCCCCGCCTCCAACTGTCCCCCAGCCTCCCCCACCGCCCACACAGCCTCCAACTGTCACCCCACCGTCTCCCCCGAGCCTCCTCCCCCGCCGTCAGCCTCCACCCCCGTCTCCCCTGCCGGCCCCAAGCCTCCCCCCGCCTCCAACTGTCCCCCAGCCTCCCCCGCTGTCTCGCCCAGCCTCCCGAGCCGTCAGCCTCCCCCCGCCTCCAACTGTCCCCCAGCCTCCCCCGAGCCTCCCCCTGTCTCCCCAGCCTCCCGAGCCGTCAGCCTCCCCCCGCCTCCATCTGTCCCCCAGCCTCCCCCCTGTCTCGCCCAGCCTCCCGAGCCGTCAGCCTCCCCCCGCCTCCAACTGTCCCCCAGCCTCCCCCCGCCGCCCACACAGCCTCTCCCCGCCGTCTCCGAGCCTCCCCCCTGGCCTCCCCCAGCCAGCCTCCCCCCTCCTCCCGAGCCTCCCCCGCCGTCACATCCACCCCCCACCCGCTCCCAGCGCCCCGCCCCCCACTGTCCCCCCCGCCCCCACTCACGCTGCGAAGCTGCTGCTGCTCCCCCGTCGCCTCCATCCCTAGGGCACGTGACCTACCCCGACGCTTTGCAGAGATCACGTGACTCACCTCTCCGCCAGACCCGGCCTGGTTTGAGACGTCACTTCCGTCCTAGCGGTTAGAACTGTTTCCGGGGTCAGGTGTCACATCCTTGCCTGCAGCGGCTTCCGCTCCTTTATGGTGAAGCCGTCACTTCCGTTCCCCCCCGCGGCGCTGCCCGGCTCCTGACGCGGCTTCCGGTCTGTCCCCCGAGCAGACCCAGAGCCTCCCGCGCTGGGGACCCGGCAGCGGCCGGAGCAGGTGGGAGGGGGTCGCGGGGCCCGCGCTGCGGGGGGGGGCCGGGGAAGGGGGTCACGCGGGGCCCGCGCTGCGGGGGGGGCGGGGAAGGGGGTCACGCGGGGCCCGCGCCGGGGAAGGGGGTCACGCGGGGCCCGCGCTGCGGGGGGGGGGGCCGGGGAAGGGGGTCACGCGGGGCCCGCGTCGGGGAAGGGGGTCACGCGGGGCCCGCGCTGCGGGGAGGGGGCGGGGCTGCGGGGAAGGGGGTCACGCGGGGCCCGCGCTGCGGGGAGGGGGCGGGGCGCTGGGGGAAGGGGGTCACGCGGGGCCCGCGCTGCGGGGGGGCCGGGGAAGGGGGTCACGCGGGGCCCGCGCTGCGGGGGGGGGGCCGGGGAAGGGGGTCACGCGGGGCCCGCGCTGCGGGGGGGCCGGGGAAGGGGGTCACGCGGGGCCCGCGCTGCGGGGGGGGGGGGAAGGGGGTCGCGCGGGGCCCGCGCTGCGGGGGGGCCGGGGAAGGGGGTCGCGCGGGGCCCGCGCTGGGGGGGGGCCGGGGAAGGGGGTCGCGCGGGGCCCGCGCTGCGGGGGGGCCGGGGAAGGGGGTCGCGCGGGGCCCGCGCTGGGGGGGGGGCGGGGAAGGGGGTCCGCGGGGCCGCGCTGCGGGGGGGCCGGGGAAGGGGGTCACGCGGGGCCCGCGCTGCGGGGGGGGGGGCGGGGAAGGGGGTCACGCGGGGCCCGCGCTGGGGGGCCGGGGAAGGGGGTCACGCGGGGCCCGGGGAAGGGGGTCACGCGGGGCCCGCGCTGGGGGGGGGCGGGGAAGGGGGTCGCGGGGGCCGAGGAAGGGGGCGGGGGGGTCCCAGGGGCCGGGCTGGGCAAAGGGGGGTTGCGGGGGCTGTGCTGGGGGGGCCTCACGTTTGTTTAGCGTCCCCTTATGCTGAGTGTCCCTCACCCCACTTCTGGGATTAGCAGGGGGACCTGTATAGGCAGCGCATGGCTCAGCCCCGCTGCCTGCCCCGCGCTCTGGGATGGGGGTCAGGGGAGGGCCCTGGTGGGGATTGGGTTTGTCTGGAGGCCCGGCTTGGAGCCGTCCATGGCCCTGTCACGGGTGCGGTTGTGGTAGAGAACAAGTGGCTTTGGTCCCCGGGGCCTGGTTAAATACCCCCAGGGAGCAGGCCCCACTGGCTCTTTCTTGGGCACGCGTCTATGCCTGCCGTGCTGCTGGCTGCCGGGCTCTTGGGAGGGGGAGAGAGTTGGCTGGTTCCCCTTGCTAGACCCCCCCCAACCCAGTCCTGGCGGCCCTAATTCCTCCCAATCTGGGTGGGTGTCCCAGGCCTGGGGGCCCTGTGAAGGTAACGGGAGCTGTGGGGTGGGGTGTGGCACTGCCTGCTGTGGAATGTGCACGGACCGGTCTGGGCGGGCTGGGCTCTGGCTCGTGCTGGAGCCTGCTGCCCCCGGCCCAGGTGTCTCCCCCTTGCTGCCCGCTGGCCCGCCTCCGGGCTGGGAGCTGGGGTTCATGTCGCCTGGTCTTGGGGAGGGAGGGTAAGGCAGGGCTGTAACCTCCAGATTTAGTAGCTCCCTGGTCTTCCGTGCAGAAGGGCTTGGTGCTGTTCCTCCTCCCTCCCCACACCCCGCCCCCCCGGCCTGGTGTGGGGGCCAGCTGGGCCCAGGTTTCTGTCAAGCTGAGTGAAGTGCTCTTCTGGGGGCCCAACAGTGCTGGGGTGGGTCCCTCTAGCTTGGCTTTTCTGTGGCATGTGGGGCTGGGCTGCAGGGCAGGCTCAAGGGGTCCGGTTGTGTCTTAATTTCTCCTGAAGGGGCTGCCCTGAAAGCAGGAGCCAGCTGCAGAATGACTCCTGCCCATTGCATGGAGTGAAGCAGCGCCCCCCATGAAGCAGTACCTCTGGCACAGGCTGAAGGTAGCTCCTGCTGCAGAGCCTTGGGGACGTGGCTGTTGGCACTTGCTCCCTGGGCACTGGGCCAGGAGCTGCTCAGCTGCGAGGGCCAGGTGTGTCCTGGGGCGGCCTGCAGGCCTGCCCCCCTTGTAGAGCTGCAGGTGTTGGAGAACTCAGGAGATGGTGTGAGGCAGGGAGTGAGCTGTTGCTGCCCCAAGGGGAGGGGGCACTCAGCCTGTGAAGTGGGGAAGCAGATGCTACTCCCTGTAAGTGAATTGGGGGCCTCCTGTTCCACACAACCCCAACCCCCGCTCCCAGACCAAGGGAGAGTCACTGATACTGACAGGGAGCCAAGGAAACGCTTCTAAACACAGAGCACAGTGGGCCTGTGGAACTCACTGCCAGCAGGTGCCATGTCCCAGGAGCTGAGCAGGAGCCAGGACGGTCCCAGCATCTCTGTGGAAGATGAGCCCCAGCTTTACATCAGGGAAGGGGTACACAGGGGAGACCTTTGGGGATGGGGGTGTTCAGGCCAACTCTCAGGTGAGCTCCCCCCAGGAAGGTGGATCTGGGTGAGCCATCGTTTCTTGAGAATGGAGAGCCGAGTGCTTGGGCAGGACACAACCCTGGGGAACAGGCTGGGGACAAGGGGAGCTGTGCCGTCTCTGGTGGTAAGGCAGCCACCTCTGGGGTGAATCACAGCCACACTGCTGCGTCTGCTAGGAGCCCAGGGTGTGTCCCTGAACCCAGTCCTCGACAGTGCAATGCTGCCTCTAGCCAGCAAGGCCTGCCGTCTCTTCCGCTCCGTGAGCCCCAGCACCAGGGGAGGGACCGACCTGGCTTACCCATGAAGTTGCCTGTGGGCAGCGGGCAGTTGGTGATCTCTGGAAGCCAGGACATGCTGTCTTGGCAGTGCCAGCCGAGCTGCCTGCACTGCTGCCATTCTCACCAGGGGCAGAGGCCTGGGGGGTGCCCAGGGGGCTGGCTCTGTCACCTCAGCACCCGAGGCAGCCTCAGCTGGGGTGGGCAACAGCCAGCCCCGGGGTGGGGGAGCTGCGGGGGCTGGAACACCTGGGCAGCACCTGGAGGCCCGTGGTGCTGTGTCGCTGCCCCTGCCTGCGCCTAAAGCAACGTCGCGCTCTGCCCTGGCCTGTTCTCTGTGTGTGCTTGCAGGGCCAGACCTCCTGTGGGCAGACAGGATGCCCAGGGCGCTGCGGGCAGTTCTCAGGGGCCGGGATCCCAGAGGGCGGGGTAAATCTGTGTGCCGGTCTCTGCAGGTGACCATTGGGGCTGAGTCCCAGAGGAGCTCCTCGGAGAGCTGGGGGTGGCGGGTGGGCCGGGGCCTGGGGAGCAGACTGCAGAGAGCAAGGCTGGGACCAAGCCTGCTGGCCTCTCAGCCTCGCCCTGTCCCTGCAGATCCTGACCATGACAGATGGGCTCATGAGCAAAGCTGCCACCATGGAGATCCCCATCAACGGAGCCGGGGACACAGGGAGCCTGCCGGAGGATGATGGCCTGGAGCAGGTATGTGGGCTGGGTGAGATGGGCATGTCCGGGCTAGAGGGGTGTGTCATGGGGAGGGGCGGCGAGGCGCAGGTCTAGATGGGTGTGTTGGGGCGAAAGGGAGGCCCCGGGCTAGAGGGGCGTGTCGGGGCGAGGGGAGGCCCCAGCTAGAGGGGCGTGTCGGGGGAGGGGCGGCCCTGGGCTAGAAGGGCGTGTCGGGGGGAGGGGCGGTGAGACCCCGGGCTAGAGGGGCGTGTTGTGGGATGGGAGGTGTGATGGAGTTACAGGTCCAATGCTCTGGGACTGCTCGGTATGAAGTCAGCCAAGACTCTAGGTAGTGTGACTCCCCTCGGGGCTGTCCGGGGCAAGAATCCTCTTCGGCTATGGCCTTCCTGGTCTGACCTCAGAGCATTCAGCCCCCTGTTCACACCGTGCACTTCCCATTTGCGGGTCCACCTGGACGGGACCCCGGGGAAGCCAGAGGGTCCTGTACCCCAACTCCGCAGTCAGACGTGACTCTCAGCCAGCCAGTAAAACAGAAGATTTATTAGGAGACAGAGCTTGTTAGAACAGAAATTAGTGACTTTCAGCACAGTCCATTTTCGGGAGACCCTGGACCAGACGTCCTGGACTCCCCATCTCCGAGTCCCCCACAGCAGAAGACCACCCAGCTTCCAGCGACCTGGCCTCTGACACCCTTGTAGCTCCTCCTCCTGGTCTTTGTCTCCTTTCCCGGACAAAGTGTCACCTGGTTGCATCCCCCTCCTGGTTCTCAGGTTACTAAGGGCATCCTGCCATCGCTATCTGCAGGCAACTGGAGAAGCCTCACCGCCCCTGGGATCTCAGCAAAATTCACACCCTTATCCCCATCACCTCGACATTGGTGCAGAAAACAGGGAAACTGAGACGCATATAGTATTAATTCAAAACAGTAAAACTCTGTCACGGAGTCACCAGGGCGATGCTCTGGAACTGCTCCCTACGAAGCCAGGCAGGATACTGAGGGAGCCTCCTCTCTCAGAGCAGACTGTCTCCAGGGGGAGAAGCTTCCACCTTCCTGGGTCTGACCTCGGAGCATTCAGCATCCCCTTCCACACCGTGCGCTTCCCACAGCGAGTCCGCCCAGGCGGGGTCCTGGGAAGTGAGAGGGTCCTGCACCCCAACTCCGCGATCAGACATGACTCTCAGCCAGCCAGGAACACAGACTGTTTATTAGGTGACAGGAACACAGCATAGGGCAGAACTTGTTAGTCCAGAAATCAGTGACTTTCAGCACAGTCCATCTTGGGAGTCCTGGGCCAGACACCCTGGATTCCCCGGTCCAGTCCCCCCACGCAGGCCTCCAGCCACCCAGTCTGACATCCCCCTGTTCTCCTCTGTCTCTTTGTCTCGCTTCCTGGGCAAAAGGTGTCACCTGGTCGCATCCCCCCTCTGGGTCTCTGGTCACACAGGTGCAAACAGCTGGGCAGCCTCACCTGCCTTGAGGGCCTCAGCAAAATCACACCCACAATTCCTGAATTATTGATGCAGTACAACAGGGAAACTGAGGCACACACAGTATAAGTATAGGACAGTAAGAGTCATGTGCATCCTAACAAGATGAATAAAACCCCACTTCGTCACAGACTCACATAAGTGAGTACAACATAGCAAAGGAAAACCCCACTTTGTCACAGGGGGCACCGGGCTAGGAGATGGGAAGGTACTGGGCTAGAAGGGATGTGTGGCCGGGAGGGGAGGCGCTGGAATAGAGGGCTGTGTTGGGAGGAGAGGCGCCGGGCTAGGGGGGACGTGTCGGGGGGAGGGGAGGCGCCGGGCTAGGGGGGACTGTGTCGGGGGGAGGGGAGGCGCCGGGCTAGGGGGGACTGTGTCGGGGGGAGGGGAGGCAGTGTGTATTGGGCTCTAAGGACCCACAGAGCTCCCTCCAAGGCTGGGCCTTCGGCACCAGCGACCCGTCTTTCTCCATGGCTCCCTACAGCGAATCCAGCCCAGCCCTGGTGGGTACTGGCCCCGTCAGGGTGCAATGCTCCCTGGGAGTCTTTGCAGCGAGGCCTTTGCAAAACAAAGTTACCATTTGTTAATTACTGGCTACGGAATCTGAGTGCCCTTGGCTAGCACAGAGGACAAAGGTTAAGCCAGGGCAATGAAAGCTGTTATCTATTCTGGCTCTCAAGAAGAGCTCTGTGGATCCTCTGAGAAAGCTTCTCTCTAACCGTGAGAAGTTGGCCCAATGAGCGGTCTTACCTCGCCCGTCTTATCTCCGTCAGTCCCAAGTGAGAGTTCACCTGCCCAGGGTGACTGCCCTGAGGGTTAGGTGCTGGTTGCTGGAAGTGGTTTGGGGGAGAGGAGGCATCCGATGAAGTGAACCATAGCTCACGAAACCTTATGCTCAAATAAATTTGTTAGTCTCTAAGGTGCCACAAGTCCTCCTTTTGTTTTTACGGATACAGACTAACACGGCTGCTACACCGAAACCTGTTTTGTCTCTGGATCTTCTGTCGATCTGGGTCAGTGTCAGCCAGTTCTTCAATGGCCAGTCATGCCCCCCAGACAGCGAGGTGCCACCCCTGTTGCACCCTGGCTAGCCATGAAGGTACAGAAGGAAACGGACATACCAGGGATCCCCCCTTCCTCCTAGGTTGGCTGGGTGCAGCAGGGCCAGGCTGCCCTTGGGGGCTGACTCCCAATTCCAGGGGCCGGTCTGAGCCCAGAGCGGACTCTGCTCTTGTCCGTTTCAGGACCTGCAGCAGGTGATGGTGTCGGGGCCCAACCTGAACGAGACCAGCATTGTGTCGGGGGGCTACGGGGGCACCGCCGAGGGGATTATCCCCACCAGCACTGTCAAAGGTAAGGGGCCCTGGGGTGGGTCTTCCCCTGCTGGTCCTCTCTGAGGTGTCCCTGGGCCTGGTGCCTCTGCAGGGGCGCTGCCAGCTGCAGTCTGTCAGGCAAAGGGCTCTGTAGAGTGAGAGGTGGGCTGCCCCAAAGTCTGGGGCAGTAGCGGGCCCCCAGGGGCTCTAGAGGGCAACCGTGTACGGAAAGACACAGCTCTGCTGTGGGGCACAGCACCCCCACTGGCCACCTAGTGCATTGCAGAGGAGGGGCACTAGCTTTAGCTATTCTGTTGCCTGCTTCCCTGCCAGGCTGTGGAGGCCAGGGTAGCCAGACTGGGGAGCCCCTAACCCAGCCCTGCCCCCAGGGTGACCTAGGAGAAGAGAGCAGCTGAGACCCAGCACCAAGCCCTGCCTGGCCCTGAGGACTCTGCTGGCTGGGAGAGCGGGTGCAGAGCTGCTGCCCCTCCCCGGCGGGTGGGAGGCTAGCTAGGAACCCAGCAGGCAGCTCCCGGGGCAAAGGATCTGGATTGGCACATTGGGCCCCAGCCTGGGAGGCCAGGCCCTGCTGGGTAGGGGCACCTGGGGTGTTTGCCCCTCTCCGACCCTGTTGTGTGGTTCTGTCTAGGCCCTGCGGTGCAGTATAACACCTCCTTCCCGGGACTGCGGCTCCTTCATGCACAAGGTGGCTCCGGTTTACCTCCTCGGGGCTTCACTAACTGGCTGGTGCAGGAACTGCTTTCCTGGTAGCCTGGCCTGGGGCTATCAGAGGGCCCGTGGGCTGGCTGGGCCCTGCGGGGACAGGGGGGCTGCTGGGTTTCAGAGTCCCTGGGTGATGCTCTGGAATGGCTCCCTATGAAGCCAGTCAGGACTCTGGTGAAGTCTCCTCTTTGTGAGCAGCCTGTCTCCAGGGCAAGAAGCTCACCCAGCTTCCACCTTTCTGGGTCTGACCTCGGAGCATTCAGCATCCTCTGCCCCTCCATGCACTTCCCACAGCGAGTCCGCCCAGCCAGGGTCCTGCCCCCCAACTTCGCAGTCAGACGTGACTCTTAGCCAGCCGGGAAAACAGGGTTTATTAGATGACAGGAACATGGTCTAAACCAGAGCTTGTAGGTGCAGAGAACAGGACCCCTCAGCTGGGTCCATTCTGGGGGGCAGTGAGCCAGACATCCACATCTGCACTTCACTCCTCCTCCTCCTCATCCCCAGCCAGCCCCAAACTGACTCCCACTCCAGTCCCTCCTCCTCTGGGCTTTGTCCTGTCACCGGATTCCTTTGTTCTCCAACCCTTTAGCTCTCACCTTGCAGGGGGGAAGGGCCCAGGCCATCAGTTGCCAGGAGGCAGAGTGTCAGCCATTTATGTACCCTGGCCCTTTGCTCTGCAACAATTACAGCCCCTTATCCCACCACCTAGAGACTTAAGAAATGCCGAGGGGAAACTGAGGCACCCCTACAGTATTCAGAGGAGAGATTAAGAACAGTCCCACTTCATCACATCGAACTGCTAATCCATCTGCTCCCTCCACCTGCTTCACACCTGTACTGACTGATGGAGAGGCCTGGCTGGAGTCTCCCCTCACTAATGCTTCCTGGCCTCTGCTGGACACTGAACCCCACTGGGTCAGGATCGAAGGCGGAGGCCACAGGCCACTCCCACCTCCTTCTCTGTGGGGTCTAGCGCTGGGAGCAGGGGCTGGGCATCGCTGCTGTGGCTCGTTGGAGGAGCCGGGCGGGAGGGGAGCGCTGCTGTGTGCTCCTCGCGCATGTGAGTACTGGTGTCAGCGGGGGTGGGTGGGCGGGCGGGTGTGCGTGCGCGCAAGGCACCCTCAGGGCACTAGCTCATCGGGAACACCCTGCCTTGTTCCAGTGCAGGCCTGGCTGCATGGCTATGGCCACCGGCCAGCACAGGAGGGAGAGTGCTGTCTCCGGGCTGGTAGAGTAACTTAGTGACGCAAGGTAAAGCCGGACCCTGGAAAGTGAGATAATGCCAGTGTCCTGTCCCGCGGGCAGAGCCCCACCGTGGTCCCATGGGGAGAGGGGTTGGCATCCCACCCTCTGGACAGATCCTCTCCATAGTCCCATGCAGGGAGAGGCCAGCATGTCCCCAAGCCGCACATCTCCACCATGGTCCCGTGGGGTGGGGGAAAGAACCTGCCGGGTCATGTTCTGGCATCTGTCACACCTGGGATCTTGACCAGGGCCAGTGTCCAGATGCTGGTAGCCAAGACCCGGCTGTATCCCCCAGCCTGGCCTCTGTTCTGTGGCACGGGCGTCAGGGCTGCCCTGTCCCATGAGGCTTCTGCCCTGTGGAGGGAGGCAGCCCAGTCATGGGGCCACTGGCTTCACCCTGGGAGCCCTTTGGGTCAGAGACAGGGTGGTGAAGAGGCTGCATTGGCAGAGTCCCGGCAGGTAGCCTGTGGCTAACAGCCAGGTGTGTCAGTGGCCAAGTGTGTCACTGCATGGCTTCTCTTGGCCTGGAGTGAGAATGAGAGAAATCTATAAATTCTGCCTGGGGCTGTGCAGGAGGAGGGAGATTGGGGCTTCTGTTCGGCCCCACAGCACAGGGACGGGGGGCGGTCAATGGCATGGAAAGGTGCGAAAAGGGAGACTTTGTCACACAGTGTAATTAGCCTGTGGAACTCTCTGCCACAGGATGTCACTGAGGCCAAGGGCTTAGCAAGATTCAGGGAGGGCCTGGCCATTCTGTGGGGACGTGAATAGCCAGAGCGATCAGAAGGAAGAACAATTCTGGCAGGGATACGAAACCTGCCCCGGGGTTTATGCCAGTCTCTGAGTATTTGTGTTCTGGACGACACCTTCCGGGGACAGGTTCCTCACTGCTGCCTCAGGCACGGGTCCTACAGAATGTGAGGCTAGCTGGGCCCGGGTCTGGTCTCTGTGTGCAGTGCTGCTACCCAGGGCACCCTGAGCCTAGGGGGTGCCCTGTCTTGGGACAGTTGAAAGGTCGGAGACAGCTGGCTCAGCCCTGCCTTCTAATTGTCACCTCACTCCATCTCTCCATTTCCCTCCCTGTGCCCATCCCTGTGCACCTAGAATCATAGACTATCAGGGTTGGAAGGGACCTCAGGAGGTCATCTAGTTCCACCCCCTGCTCAAAGCAGGACCAATCCCCAACTAAATCATCCCAGCCAGGGTTTTATCAAGCCTGACCTTAAAAACCTCTAAGGAAGGAGATTCCACCACCTCCCTAGGTAATGCATTCCAGTGTTTCACCACCCTCCTAGTGAAAAAGGTTTTCCTAATATCCAACTTAAACCTCCCCCACTGCAACATGAGACCATTACTCCTTGTTCTGTCATCTGCTACCACTGAGAATAGTCTAGAACCATCCTCTCTGGAACCCCCCTTCAGGTAGTTGAAAGCAGCTATCAAATCCACCCTCATTCTTCTCTTCCGTAGACTAAACAATCCCAGTTCCCTCAGTCTCTCCTCATAAGTCATGTGTTCCAGTCCCCTAATCCTTTTTGTTGCCCTCCGCTGGACTCTTTCCAATTTTTCCACATCTTTCTTGTAGTGTGGGGCCCAAAACTGGACACAGTACTCCAGATGAGGCCTCACCAATGTTGAATAGAGGGGAATGATCACGACCCTCGATCTGTTGGCAATGCCCCTACTTACACATCCCAAAATGCCATTGGCCTTCTTGGCAACAAGGGCACACTGTTGTCTCATATCCAGCTTCTCGTCCACTGTAACCCCTAGGTCCTTTTCTGCAGAACTGCTGCCCAGCCATTCGGTCCCTACTCTGTAGCGGTGCATTGGATTCTTCCGTCCTAAGTGCAGGACTCTGCACTTGTCCTTGTTGAACCTCATCAGATTTCTTTTGGCCCAGTCCTCCAATTTGTCTAATTCCCTCTGTATCCTATCCCTACCCTCCAGCGTATCTACCTCTCCTCCCAGTTTAGTGTCCTCTGCAAACTTGCTCAGGGTGCAATCCACACCATCCTCCAGATCATTAATGAAGATATTGAACAAAACTGGCCCTAGGACCGACCCCTGGGGCACTCCGCTTGATACCGGCTGCCAACTAGACATGGAGCCATTGATCACTACCCGTTGAGCCCGACAATCTAGCCAGCTTTCTATCCACCTTATAGTGCATTCATCCAGCCCATACTTCCTTAACTTGCTGGCAAGAATACTGTGGGAGACCGTGTCAAAAGCTTTACTAAAGTCAAGGAACAACACGTCCACTGCGTTCCCTTCATCCACAGAGCCAGTTATGTCGTCATAGAAGGCAATTAGATTAGTCAGGCATGACTTGCCCTTGGTGAATCCATGCTGACTGTTCCTGATCACTTTCCTCTCCTCTAAGTGCTTCAGAATGGATTCCTCGAGGACCTGTTCCATGATTTTTCCAGGGACTGAGGTGATGCTGACTGGCCTGTAGTTCCCAGGATCCTCCTCCTTCCCTTTTTTAAAGATGGGCACTACATTAGCCTTTTTCCAGTCGTCCAGGACTTCCCCCGATCGCCAGGAGTTTTCCAAGATAGTGGCCAATGGCTCTGCAATCTCATCCGCCAATTCCTTTAGCACTCTCGGATGCAACGCGTCCGGCCCTATGGACTTGTGTACGTCCAGCTTTTCTAAATAGTCCCGAACCACTTCTTTCTCCACAGAGGGCCGGTCACCTCCTCCCCATGCTGTGCTGCCCAGTGCAGCAGTCTGGGAGCTGACCTTGTTCGTGAAGACAGAGGCAAAAAAAGCATTGAGTACATTAGCTTTTTCCACATCCTCTGTCACTTGGTTGCCTCCCTCATTCAGTGAGGGTCCCACACTTTCCTTGGCTTTCTTCTTGTTGCCAACATACCTGAAGAAACCCTTCTTGTTACTCTTAACATCTCTTGCTAGCTGCAACTCCAGGTGTGATTTGGCCTTCCTGATTTCACTCCTGCAAGCCTGAGCAATATTTTTATACTCTTCCCTGGTCATTTGTCCAATCTTCCACTTCTTGTAAGCTTCTTTTTTGTATTTAAGATCAGCAAGAATTTCACTGTTAAGCCAAGCTGGTCGCCTGCCATATTTGCTATTCTTTCTACACATCAGGATGGTTTGTCCCTGCAACCTCAATAAGGATTCTTTAAAATACAGCCAGCTCTCCTGGACTAAACCTTTCCCCCTCATGTTATTCTCCCAGGGGATCTTGCCCATCAGCTCCCTGAGGGAGTCAAAGTCTGCTTTTCTGAAATCCAGGGTCCGTATTCTGCTGCTCTCCTTTCTTCCTTGTGTCAGGATCCTGAACTTGACAATCTCATGGTCACTGCCTCCCAGGTTCCCATCCACTTTAGCTTCCCCTACTAATTCTTTCCCGGTTTGTGAGCAGCAGGTCAAGAACAGCTCTGCCCCTAGTTGGTTCCTCCAGCACTTGCACCAGGAAATTGTTCCCTACATTTTCCAAAAACTTCCTGGATTGTCTGTGCATCGCTGTATTGCTCTCCCAGCAGATATCAGGGTGATTGAAGTCTCCCATGAGAACCAGGGCCTGCGATCTAGTAACTTCCGTGAGTTGCTGGAAGAAAGCCTCGTCCACCTCATCCCCCTGGTCCGATGGTCTATAGTAGACTCCCACCACGACATCACCCTAGTTGCTCACACTTCTAAACTTAATCCAGAGACTCTCAGGTTTTTCTGCAGTTTCATACTTGAGCTCTGAGCAGTCATACTGCTCCTCATTTGGCACTGCCCTGCCTGGCCCGTCCCCTACCTTTCCAGGCTCCTTTGTCACGTCTCTTTCCTCCCGCGGACCATCCATCTCACCCAGTAAATCTGCTGCCAGTCAGATTGCCAGCCAGGCAGATGCATCAGCAGGTCCCCTCCTTGACGCCTCATGGACTCCCTGCCCCAGGCCAGAGGGTGCCTTCCAGTATCTGCAGGGGAATCCGTCCTCTCCCAAAGGATTAGCCCCAGTGACTGCCCTGGGGAGCTGCCCCTGCCCTGCTGTGGTGTAGGGTTGAGGACCCCCGCTCTTGCTGGCATTGCAAGGCAGCCTGGAGGGGCACAGGCAAGGGGCCTCATGAGGCTGCAGGGGCACCGTGGCCTGGTGACTATCACCCCTGAGTGATGCTGGCCCCGGCCGAGCCCCCACTGCTGTTGTCCGGGCCCTGCCGCTGCTCATCTGCTGGGGCCACCCCTGCATGGTGGAGAGGGCGAGCTTGGCAGCGCCCACCCAGAGAGGGCTCGCAGTGCCAGCTGGCTTGGAAACCATGGGACAACAGCATAACAAGTGCGTCGGGGCCAGTGGGGTCGCCCGGGGTGTGTGTGTGTGTGCGCTGCGGCCAGTGGGACTATCCCCAGGGGGGGTGTACGTGCGTCGGGGAGGGGCATACGTGCACCTGGGCCAGGGGGCTGCCACCAGGGGGGAGGGGGGAAGTGTGTACGTGCGCCGGGGGAGGATGGGGGAGGGGCGTATGTGCACCTGGGCCAGGGGGCTGTGGCGGGGGGAGGGGGGAAGTGTGTACGTGCGTAGGTGGAGGATGGGGGAGGGGCGTACGTGCACCTGGGCCAGGGGGCTGTGGCGGGGGGAGGGGGGCGTGCGTGCACTGGGGACTCGCCCTGGGGCCGCTTGAATAACCTGTGCGCGCGCTGAGGCCATCAGGTGCAGCGGGGATGGGTGTGCTCTGAGGCCGGGGCTGACATGGAGGGGTGCACTGCTGCCGGGGGAGCCCTATGGGCACCCAGTGGGTCACTGTTTGGAGCTTTCCCTCCCAGCCAGTGGACTGTGAAGTGTGTCACGCAGTCCCTGGGCGATGCTCTGGAACTGCTCCCTACGAAGCCAGGCAGGACTCTGGGGGACCCTCCTCTCTGGGAGCAGCCTGTCTTCAGGGCAAACAGCTCACACAGCTTCCACCTTCCTGGGCCTGACCTCGGAGCATTCAGCCTCCTCTGCCCCTCCGTGCACTTCCCACAGCGAGTCCGCCCAGGGCGGGTACTGGGGGGGCCAGAGGGTCCTGCCCCCCAACTCCGCAGTCAGACGTGACTCTCAGCCGCCGGGAAAACAGAAGGTTTATTAGGCAACAGGAACATGGTCTAAAACAGAGCTTGTAGGTGCAGAGACCAGGACCCCCCAGCCGGGTCCATCTTGGGGGGTAGGGAGGCCAGAGCCCCATCTGGGCCTCCCTCCATTTCTCCAGCCAGCTCCAAACTGAAATGCTCCCGCCCCTCCTCTGGCCTTTGTCTCTCTCCCAGGCCAGGAGGCCACCTGATCCCTTTGTTCTCCATCCCCTTCAGTTGGCACCTTTCAGAGGAGGGGCCTAGGCCATCAGTGGCCAGGAGACAGGGTGTCGGCCATTCTCTGTGCAGACAGCAGCCCCTCTAGGGCTCTGCAACAATCACCCCCCTTATCCCACCAGCTAGATACTTCAGAACTGTCTAGGGGAATCTGAGGCACCCACCCAGTATTCAGAGAAAACATTAAGAACATTCCCACTTTGTCACAAAGTGGTTTTGCCCAACAGCATGGTTCTCAAATCCCCTACCTCCGGGAGCTGGGGCTTTCGGCAAAACTAGCATTGTTTGGCTGGAGACAAACCCAGGAGAGTTGATGGCACCGGGTCCCCAGCCCTCCTGCTGGTGGGGCACCAGCACCGCCTTCCCTGTGCTGCTGAGGGGGCCAGTGTGCCGGGAAGCTCAGCCTAGCCGTGGGAAGTGGGTCTCAGGGCCTGGGAGGGGGCCTCCAGAGCGGGGCAGTGCCTGGCAGCTGCCCCCAGGGACAGTGACTAGGCCTTGGAGGAGTTGCTACCCCACATCCTAGCCATGGGGCTGAAGCAAGGCCTCGGTGCAGGGGGGTCTCACTGCCCTGTCCTGGGCTCCGTGTGTTCCAGGCTCCGGGCTGCACCCACCCCACCCCAGCTCCTTGGCGACAGGAGACGAGGCCGCCCGGGGCATCGCTGTGGAGAAGTTTGATATTGTCAAGAAATGGGGCATCAACACATACAAGGTGAGTCTCTTGTCTTGGGCCGTGGGGGAGGGAATGGGCAGTCCTGTTGGGGGAGGGGCTGCGCTGCCTGGGGGGGAGGGACCCGCTGTCCCATGGGGCAGCTGGGAGGGGGAATGGGCTGCTGGGGGCAGGAGAGAGGCTGACTGTCCCTTGAAGCAGGGGCAGGGGTGTCTGCGATTGGGCTGCCCATGAGGCTGGGACTGGCTGGGGGGAGAAGCTGAGGGAACTGGGGCTATTTAGTCTGCAGAAGAGAGGAGTGAGGGGGGATTTGATAGCTGCTTTCAACTACCTGAAAGGGGGTTCCAAACAGGATGGATCTGGACTGTTCTCAATGGTAGCAGATGACAGAACGAGGAGTCATGATCTCAAGTTGCAGTGGGGGAGGTCTAGGTTGGATATTAGGAAACACTATTTCACTAGGATAGTGGTGAAGCACTGGGATGGGTTCCCTAGGGCGGTGGTGGAATCTCCTTCCTTGGAGGTTTTTAAGGTCAGGCTTGACCAAGCCCTGGCTGGGATGATGTAGTTGGGGATGGGTCCTGCTTTGAGCAGGGGGTGGGACTAGACACCTCCTGAGGTCCCTTCCCACCCTGATAGTCTGTGGTTTTATGCCTGGTGTCCCATGGGGCCAGGGAGGGCGCTGGAGTACGAACGTCCCTCCTAAACATTCAGTGGGGGCTTGTTGGAGCTGCCCCTTATGGACCCACGCCCGGGGGAGCTCTTGCCCCGGAGCCGGGCCCCCTTGACCCGTGCCCTCCTGCAGTGCACCAAGCAGCTGATCTCGGAGCGCTTCGGCCGGGGCTCGCGCACGGTGGACCTGGAGCTGGAGACGCAGATCGAGCTGCTGCGCGACACGAAGCGCAAGTACGAGTGCGTGCTGCAGCTGGGGCGGGCGCTGACCCACCACTTTTACAGCCTGGTGCAGACGCAGCGCGCACTGGGCGACGCCTTCTCCGACCTGAGCCAGAAATCCCCCGAGCTGCAGGTACGAGCCCGGGCGGGGCCGGCTAGCTGGGGTGGGGCGGGGCGAGGGCCGGCTGGGCGGGGCCCGGGCGGGGCCGGCTGGCTGGGGCGGGGCGAGGCCCGGGCGGGGCCGGCTGGCTGGGGCGGGGCGAGGCCCGGGCGGGGCCGGCTGGCCGGGGCGAGGGCCGGCTGGCTGGGGCGGGGCGGCTGGCTGGGGCGGGGCGAGGGCCGGCCGGCTGGCTGGGGCGGGGCGGCTGGCTGGGGCGGGGCGGGGCCCGGGCGAGGGCTGGCCGGCTGGCTGGGGCGGGGCGGGGCCCGGGCGAGGGCTGGCCGGCTGGCTGGCTGGGGCGGGGCCCGGGGCGAGGGCCGGCCGGCTGGGGCGGGGCGGGAAGGGGCCCGGGGCGAGGGCCGGCCGGCTGGGGCGGGGCGGGGCGGTGCCCGGGGCGAGGGCCGGCCGGCTGGGGCGGGGCGGGGCGGTGCCCGGGGCGAGGGCCGGCCGGCTGGGGCGGGGGGGGCGGTGCCCGGGGCGAGGGCCGGCCGGCTGGGGCGGGGCGGTGCCCGGGGCGAGGGCCGGCCGGCTGGCCGCCTGGGGCGGGGCGGTGCCCGGGGCGAGGGCCGGCCGGCTGGCCGGCGGGGCGGGGGTGCCCGGGCGAGGGCCGGCCGGGCGGGGCGGTGCCCGGGGCGAGGGCCGGCCGGCTGGGGCGGGGCGGTGCCCGGGGCGAGGGCCGGCCGGCTGGGGCGGGGCCCGGGGCGAGGGCCGGCCGGCTGGGGCGGGGCGGGGCCCGGGGCGAGGGCCGGCCGGCTGGGGCGGGGCGGGGCCCGGGGCGAGGGCCGGCCGGCTGGGGCGGGGCGGGGCCCGGGGCGAGGGCCGGCCGGCTGGGGCGGGGCGGGGCCCGGGCGAGGGCCGGCTGGGGCGGGGCGGGGCCCGGGGCGAGGGCCGGCCGGCTGGGGCGGGGCGGGGCGGGGCCCGGGGCTAGGGCCGGCTTGCTCTGGCGGGGCGGGATGGAGCCCGGGGCGAGGGCCGGCTAGCTGGGGCAAGGCAGGACCCGGGGCGAGGGCCGGCTAGCTGGGGCAAGGCAGGACCCGGGGCGAGGGCCGGCTAGCTGGGGCAAGGCAGGACCCGGGGCGAGGGCCGGCTGGCTCTGGCAGGGCGGGATGGGGCCCGGGTGAGGGCCGTCTGGCTGGGGTGGGGCGGGATGGGGCCCGGGTGAGGGCCGGCTGGCTGGGGCAAGGCGGGGCTGGCTGGCTGGGGTAAGGCGGGACCCGGGGCGAGGGCCAGCTTGTTGGGGCGAGGCCCAGGGTGAGGGCTGGCTGGCTCTGGCGGGGCGGGATGGAGCCCGGGGCAAGGGCCGGCTGGCACCTGGCACCACCGTCACGGCCTGTGACCTTGGGTTGGGCCCTGAGCTTCCCCTTCCGTGCGAATGGGGGGCTGATAGCCCTGCCCTGCCGCACGGGGGCGGAGGGGTTGGTGCAGTCAATGGGCCAGGGAAGTGCCCCAGGCTCCCAGCCCAGACCGGGGCACGGGAGGGATGGGCTCTTTCATGGGGTGCAGGCAGGCTTCCAAGATCCTGGGGGCCCTGACCCGCCCCGTCCCCACCCCAGGAGGAGTTTGGCTGTAACGCAGAGACGCAGAAGCTGTTGTGTAAGAATGGAGAGACCCTGCTCGGGGCCGTCAACTTCTTCGTCTCCAGCATCAACACTCTGGTGAACAAGACTATGGAGGACACGCTCATGACCGTTAAGCAGTACGAGACGGCCAGGTGAGCGGGTGAGGGGCCCAGTCCGGGGGGTGCTGGGGGCCGGCACAGCAGGGGGAGCGATGGGTTACGGTTCCCTGTGCTCAGTTGCGGGGGGCGCTGGGGGCCAGCACAGCAGTAGGCGTGAGGTGGGCCGGAGCGATGGGTTACGGTTTCCCGTGCTCGGTAGAGGGGCGGGGGGGGGTCCTGCGGGGTGCTGGGGGCTGGCACAGTGGGGGCAGTGATGGGTTACGGTTTCCCGCGCTCAGTAGAGGGTGGGTGGGGGGTCCCGGGGGGCGCTGAGGCCCGGCACAGCGGCGGCAGCAATGGGTTACCCCGTGCTCGGTAGAGGGCCCCTGGGGGAAGCATGGCTCTGACCCCACCTCCGTGCAGGCTGGAGTACGACGCCTACCGCACAGACCTGGAGGAGCTGAGCATGAGCCCGCGGGACACCAGCACCCTGTGCCGCCTCGACGCCGCCCAGAGCCACTTCCAGAGCCACAAGGAGAAGTACGAGAAGCTGCGGGCCGACGTGGCCATCAAGCTCAAGTTCCTGGAGGAGAACAAGGTGAGGGGCGGGGCCCGGCCGGGCCTGCTGCCCGTGCCCCCCGGGGCCACGGGCTGGGCCAGCCTCCCTGCACCAGGAGCTGGGCCAGTACCTCCAGAGCCACTCCACCCTCCCCAGTGCTGGGCTGCCTGCCCCACCGTGAGCCCCACTGCTAACAGCTCTCTGGGTCACCGGTGCAGGGATGTTGGTGACCCCGACCCCCTCTTGTCACGGGGTCCCCAGACAATGCTCTGGAACTGCTCCCTACGGAGCCGGGCAGGACTCTGGGGAAGTCTCCTCTCTGAGAGCAGCCTGTCCCCAGGGCAAACAGCTCACACAGCTTCCACCTTCCTGTGTCTGACCTCGGAGCATTCAGCCTCCTCTGCCCCTCCATGCGCTTCCCACAGCGAGTCCACCCAGGCGGGGTCCTGGGGAAGCCAGAGGGTCCTGCCCCGCAACTCCGCAGTCAGACGGGACTCTCAGCCAGCCAGTAAAACAGACCCCTCAGTCAGATCTGTCTTGGGGGGCAGGGAGGCCAGAGCCCCATCTGGGCCTCCCTCCATTTCCCCAGCCAGCTCCAAACTGAAACTCTCCAGCCCCTCCTGTGGCCTTTGTCTCTCTCCCAGGCCAGGAGGCCACCTGATCCCTTTGTTCTTCAACACCTTCAGTTGGCACCTTTGCAGGGGAGGGGCCCAGGCCATCAGTGGCCAGGAGACAGGGTGTTGGCACTCTCAGTTGGGTCCCACCAGAACCAGCATCGTTACAGGAACACAGTGCAAAACAGAGCTTGTAGGTACAGGAAACAGGACCCCTGAATCAAGTCCATCTTGAGGTGAGGGAGGCTAGAGCCCCATCCAGGCCTCCGTCCATTTCCCCAGCCAGCTCCAAACTGAAACTCTCCAGCCCCTCCTCTGACCTTTTTCTCTTTCCCTGGACCAGGAGGCCACCTGATCCCTTTGCTCTCCAACCCCTTCAGTTAGCACTTCTGTGGAGGAGGGACCCAGGCCATCAGTTGCCAGGAGACAGGGCATCGGCCATTCTCTGTGCAGACACCATCCCACTGGCCCTCTAGGGCTCTGCAACAATCACACCCCCTTATCCCACCAGCTAGAGACTTAAGAAATGCCGAGGGGAAACTGAGGCACCCACACAGTATTCAGAGAGAACATTAAGAACATTCCCACTTCATCACATCTCTCCCCGTGGCGGGGCAGCGCCAGGCTGGGAGGCTGGGTGAGGGGTGTTGGTAACCCCTTTGAATTGTTGGGGGGCAGGGCCAGGCTGGGCTTCTGGGGGGTGGGCTTGGGGAGTGTTGGGGCGGGGCCAGGGGCAGGGCTGGGAGGGTGTTGTGGGGGGCGGGGCCAGGAGCGGGGCTTGGGGGTGTTGGGGTTGGTGGGCAGGGTCAGGCTGGGTTGCTGGGGCATGGGCTTGGGGGTGTGTTGGGCCAGGGGATGGGCTCCGGGGGTGTTGGATGGTTGGGCCAGGGGCGGGCTCAGTGGGTGTGGGGGGCGGGCTGTCCTGGGATTGATCTCTTGCTCCCCCCTCCCCCCAGATCAAGGTGATGCACAAGCAGCTGCTGCTCTTCCACAACGCTGTCTCCGCCTACTTCGCCGGCAACCAGCAGCAGCTGGTGCAGACCCTGCGGCAGTTCAACATCAAGCTCAAGACGCCGGGCGCCGAGAAGCCCTCGTGGCTGGAGGAGCAGTGAGCGGCTTGAACTCTGAGCTCTGGCCCGGGGCCAGGCTCGTGTGGGCGAGGGGGGCCCGGCTGGGGCCAGTGAGACAAGACCCCCACGGAAGCCCCAAGGCCTGGACCCCGGCTGGGTAAATGGGGTCTCTCTGCCTCGGGCGGCCCTGGGCTCTGTGCCCAGGTGGGGGCAGGAGAGGTGCCCTGAGCTGCGGCAGGGCTCCCCCATCTGCACCTCTGCCCTGCGAGTTCGGTGTGCCCAGCCTGGGCTGCTCATAGGGGTGCAGTGCTTCAGTGGCCCCCCACCCAGTGCAGCTGCAGGGCAACAGGGGTCACTCATCATCCCCCAGCCACACGCCGGGGAGGCCGGTGTGTCCTGTCCCCAACAACAGGCCTCATTCCTTGCGGGGGGCCAGCGTGTCCCGTCCCCCAGCCCCCAACAGGCCTCACTCCTGGGGGGGCCAGTGTGTTCCGTCCCCCAGCCCCCCAATGGGCCTCACTCCTTGCAGGGGCAGGGGGAGTCTGTGCTGTCCCCCCAGCCCTCTTGGGAGGGGCAGCATTTCCCTTCCCACTTCAAGGCCTTCTGGGGAGCAGGAGGGGCCAGTGTCTCCTGTCCTGCCCCTGGGGGCCTCACTCCTTACAGCACCGGGGGTGCAGCCCCCAGGCCTCAGTGTTCTCAGGGGGAAGGGTGCAGAGGGGCTGGGAGCCAGGACTCCTGGGTTCTATTCCAGCTCTGGCTTGTGATCTGGGGCCAATCCTTCCCTCCCCTTGTGTAGTTGGTCTCTGGCATTTCCGGAGGGGGGGGAATCAGCTGCTTTCATTACTTCCTCCCCCCTCGGACACACACACTACAGCCCCTTTTTCCCCTGCACTGGGGCAGCAGGGGTCTGGGGGCTGCCCTGCCCCTGGGCTCTAGCCCCCTCCCCCACTGTGGGGCAGGGGGACAGGTTGGGCTTGGCACACTCCTGCTGGCTGCAGCCTTTCCATTTGCACAGAGCCAGCCTCCTGTGGCCAATGCTGGCCACTCCAGCAGCACTGGGCTCCTCCTGCTCCTCCAGCATGCGTGTGTGCGGGAAGGTAGCCAGGTCTGTCGTGTGCTGTCCACGCCGGGGCCCCTCTGCCACCAGGCCAGCGGGGCGCTGTGGCCCTTTCTCCTCTGCCAGGGGAGAAGTGGTTTGGTTTTTTTTGCTAATTTAATCCCTGGTTCTACCCCAAACCCCCAACGTCTGTGAAGATTCCCGAATAAAAGGGTACGAAGTCGCCCTGTGTGTGGTGGGGCTGGGAGCTGGAACCCTGCTGGGCATTGGGCCGGGCTGAGGATCGGACAGCAGCACACGCTGGGGGATGCTGGGCAGAGGGGAGGGGATGTCCTCCCAGTGCTTTGGTCCCCTCACAGGGGCTGTGGCAGGTGCCCCCTGACTGTCTGGGGCTCCCTCCGTCACCCAGGAGCTGCCAAAGGCTCTGCCCAGGTGTAACAATGCTGGCTTTGGTGGGACCCAACTGAGAGTGCCAATTCAGGGCAAACTGCTCAAAGCAGGGCAGCTACAGCCCACGGCTGGGGTTCCTTTGTACACCAAGGCAAACCAAACCAGCCAGATAGAGAAGACTTTGGTTTTGCCCATAAGTCAGATGTAAGTCACACAAGCCATTCCCTTAGACACTCCAGTTTCCTAGTATCACCACCAGGGCCACTTGTTATGGGGACGAATGGTTATGAAAATCAATACCGCAGTGAAAGAAAAAAGGTTCTCTCGATCCCAAAGGACCAAGCCCCAGACCCAGGTCAATATACAACTCAGATCTTACCCACAAATCATGCTGTTGCCAATCCTTTCGAATCTAAAATCTAAAGGTTTATTCATAAAAGGAAAAAGATAGAGATGAGAGCTAGAATGGGTGAAATAGAATCAATGACATACAGTAACAGTGAAGTTCTTGGTTCAGGCTTGTAGCAGTGATGGAATAAGCTGCAGGTTCCAATCAAGTCTCTGGAGAACACCCCCAGCTGGGAGGGATCATTCAGTCCTTGGGTCAAAGCTTCGGTTTGTAGCAAAGTCCCTCCAGGGGCAAGAAGCAGAACTGAAGACAAGATGGAGATGAGACATCACCCTTTTATAGTCTCTTGCCATGTGGTCTTCGCTTTCTTTGTCCCAAGGACACGCTATCCAGCACATGGCCTGGAAACACCTCAGAGTTCTGACCATAGGCAGGGCCCTGTACACCTTGCTGAGTCACAAGGTGTGTCTGCCTTCTTTCAATGGGTCAGTTGTGTAGCTGATTGCCCTTAATAGGCCATTAAGCAGTCTAGGCAGAGTTGACACCAACTTGTCTGGGGTGTCACCCAGAAGCATAGCATAAGTTTGAAATACAGACAGTGTAGAGCCAATATTCATAACTTCAACTACAAAACTGATACACATGTACACATAGCATAATTATAACCAGCAGATCATAACCTTCCTGTAGACACCTCACACGACAACCTTTGCACAATATTTGCTGCACATATATAACAGTGGTTGCAACAGTGATCTACACGGTTACAGATTCTGCCAATAACGTCACACCAGGGCCTTGCCAGCCTGGGCTTGGGCAGGAGCCCCTGGGGGGCAGCTCAGGAGCAGTGCCTTGATGGGGCAGCTCTACCCCTTGCAAGGAGAAGGGGGCTCATATGCTGGGGTGGGGCTGTCCCTCTGGGGGGTTCGTTACACTCAGCTGCCCCATCCAGGCTGGGCACTGTGCCCTGGGAAAGGACTGGGGTCATGGCTGAGCTCTCCCAGCCTGCTGCAGCTGAGCCTAGTACCGCCCTGGGCCGGGTGGGCAGGGTGTTTTTAGTGGGGGCAGAGCCTCTGTATGGCATCCGTGAGCCCATCGCTGGACACCAGGGCTGCTGGCTGCCCTGTCCCATCATGGCCCCAGCTCGCCCTGCTGGATCCCCTGGTACTGGTGCCAGGCTCTGCCCACCCAGCACGGTACACTGGGCTGGGGCTCCGCCCAGCGCTGCAGGCCCTACGCCCGGCTTGGTGAGGCTGCAGGTGTATTACATGGTTGCACGTTTCCTTGTTGCTGCAGGCAGAGCTTTCCCCCTGCCGGGCCCCTCGCCCCCAGGCCAGTCTGAGGCTCCATTGCTCGGAGGTCCCTGCCTCCCCCTGCTGCCCTGGCTCACCAGCGTCTTGTCCTCAGGGGCGCCGCGAAGGCTCGCCGACGTTCTGGAACGGAGCGACGGGCCGTGCAGAGCCGGGCCGTGCTGAGTTCTTTCCCCGGCCAGTTGTGGGTGGTTCCACAGGATCTGCTGTGGGCCCCACGAGCTGGAAGAAAGCAAAGTGATTGCTGCTAACGCTGGTGGGCGGCGCGGTCAGTGCTGCTGGGACCAGGGCCGTCCCCCTGAGCCATCTGGGTCACTTGGGAAGCCGTCAAACAAACGGTGTTTTAACCCCGACACGGGCAATGTCCTTCATGTCGGCCCAAGGAAGACTGGCCCTGCCTCCCGGAAAGCCGTCGCTCTAAGCAGGGTGTGGAGGCTGCAGCCACTCGACACGCATTCCCAGGGCCTGCTGTGGCCCAGAGCCCTGATGCTATCCTTGCAGGTGTAAACGGGAGCAGGGAGGTGATTTTACCTCTGGGCGCGGCATCGGTGACCTCAGCACTGCAATAGCACTGGGCGGTGTTTCGAACACAATGGTGACGTACTGGAAAGGGGCAGAGAAGAGCCACAGAACTGATTGAAGGGCTGGAGAAAAGGCCTGATGTGCCTTGAGTGAGAGCCGTAAGGAGCATGATGTGTTCAGCTTACCAAAAAGACGACTCGTGGCGAACATCCGGGGAAGTCCCGGATGACTGGAAAAAGGCTAATGTAGTGCCAATCTTTAAAAAAGGGAAGAAGGAGGATTCTGGGAACTACAGGCCAGTCAGCCTCACTTCAGTCCCTGGAAAAATCATGGAGCCCAGGTCCTCAAAGAATCAATCCTGAGGCATGAGAGGAAAGTGATCAGGAACAGCCAGCATGGATTCACCAAGGGAAGGTCATGCCTGACTAATCTAATCGCCTTTTATGATGAGATTACTGGTTCTGTGGATGAAGGGAAAGCAGTGGATGTATTGTTTCTTGACTTTAGCAAAGCTTTTGACACGGTCTCCCACAGTATTCTTGTCAGCAAGTTAAGGAAGTATGGGCTGGATGAATGCACTACAAGGTGGGTAGAAAGCTGGCTAGATTGTCGGGCTCAACGGGTAGTGATCAATGGCTCCATATCTAGTTGGCAGCCGGTATCAAGTGGAGTACCCCAAGGGTCAGTCCTGGGGCCGGTTTTGTTCAATATCTTCATAAATGATCTGGAGGATGGTGTGGATTGCACTCTCAGCAAATTTGCGGATGATACTAAACTGGGAGGAGTGGTAGATACGCTGGAGGGGAGGGATAGGATACAGAAAGACCTGGACAAATTGGAGGATTGGGCCAAAAGAAATCTGATGAGGTTCAATAAGGATAAGTGCAGGGTCCTGCACTTAGGACGGAAGAACCCAATGCACAGCTACAGACTAGGGACCGAATGGCTAGGCAGCAGTTCTGCGGAAAAGGACCTAGGGGTGACAGTGGACGAGAAGCTGGATATGAGTCAGCAGTGTGCCCTTGTTGCCAAGAAGGCCAATGGCATTTTGGGATGTATAAGTAGGGGCATAGCGAGCAGATCGAGGGACGTGATCGTTCCCCTCTATTCGACATTGGTGAGGCCTCATCTGGAGTACTGTGTCCAGTTTTGGGCTCCACACTTCAAGAAGGATGTGGATAAATTGGAGAGAGTCCAGCGAAGGGCAACAAAAATGATTAGGGGACTGGAACACATGAGTTATGAGGAGAGGCTGAGGGAGCTGGGATTGTTTAGCCTGCAGAAGAGAAGAATGAGGGGGGATTTGATAGCTGCTTTCAACTACCTGAAAGGGGGTTCCAAAGAGGATGGCTCTAGACTGTTCTCAATGGTAGCAGATGACAGAACGAGGAGTAATGGTCTCAAGTTGCAGTGGGGGAGGTTTAGATTGGATATTAGGAAAAACTTTTTCACTAAGAGGGTAGTGAAACACTGGAATGCGTTACCTAGGGAGGTGGTAGAATCTCCTTCCTTAGAGGTTTTTAAGGTCAGGCTTGACAAAGCCCTGGCTGGGATGATTTAACTGGGAATTGGTCCTGCTTTGAGCAGGGGGTTGGACTAGATGACCTTCTGGGGTCCCTTCCAACCCTGATATTCTATCTATGATTCTATGATCAAGAAGTGACTTGATTGCAGGGTGGAAGTCCCTTCCTGGGGGAAATCACTGAGTCTGAGCGGGCTTGTTACACTAGTGGGGAAAGGCAGTACAAGAGCCTGTGCCTGGAAGATGGAGCCAGACACATTCAGATTGGAAACAAGGCCCAAGTGTGTCCCAGGGAGGTGATTAGCCACTGGAACAAGGCCCAAAGGAAGTGTGGGATTCTCCATCTCTTGGTGTCTTCACATCCACACTGGAAGCTGGTTTAGCCAGACGCGAGTTATTGGCTCAATACAGAGGAACTTGGGTGGTGGTCTCTGGCCTTAGGTGGTCTCTGGCCTGGTCTACGCAGGATCTATTAAATATGTAAATTAGCTCATGTAATTTGTATCAAATATCACGTGGGGCTGACCCATGCTTGGCTGCCTGTGTCAGTTCTGGGGTCCCCATTGGGGAAGGCTGGTGATGAATGGAAGAAGGCTTGGAAAAGTGATGGGAACGACTTAAAGGCTGCACTGCTCCCCGGAGTGAGAGACTGGAGGAGCTCAGTCTGGGTAGCGGAACAAAGAGAAGGTGAAGGTGACTTGGTGATGGCCATATGGTGATACTAACACTCTTCCACCCACTAGTGCCTCTGGAGGATGTTAAACAGCAGCTACCATTTTAAAATCATCAGATCCATGTAACTTGCACCCAAGAGTTTTAAAAGAGCTCGATGAGGAGCTTGCTGGACTGTTATGTTGATTTTGACAAGTTCGAGACTGGAAGAAACTAATGTGGCAATATTTTTAAAGGGTAAAGGGGCTGACACAGGTAATTACAGGCCTGTCAGCCTGACATCAATGCAGGGCAAGATAATGGAGTGGCTGATACAGCACTTGATTCATAAAGAACTAAAGGAGGGAAATGTAATTAATGCAAATCAGCATGGGTTTATGGAAAATAGACCCTGTTAAACTGTCACAAGAGCAGAGGCTCGGGGCTCTGGAACGGCTCTGGATGAAGCCAGGCAGGAC